TTTTCAAACCTGGTGGATCTGCTGATTACGTGCCTTGGGGTTTCTCTTCTTGAGGAATATCTTTGTGTGTTCTCTGTATTTCCTGGACCTGAATATTGGCCTGCCTTGCTGAGTTGGGGAAGTTTTCTTGGATAATATCCTGAAGAATATTTTCCAGCTTGGATTCATTCTCTCTGTCACATTCAGGTATACCTATCAAAGTAGATTAGGCTTTTTCACATAGTCCCATATTTCTTGGAGACTTTGTTCATTCCTTTTTACCCTTTTTTCTCTATTCTTGCCTTCTCGTTTTATTTCATTGAGTTGATCTTCAACCTCTGATGTCCTTTCTTCTGCTTGGTCAATTTGGCTTTTGAAACTTGTATGCTTTGCGAAGTTCTCTTGTTTTTTTTTCAGCTCCATCAGTTCACTTGTATTCCTCTCTGAGTTGTTTATTCTTGTTAGCATTTCATCAAATCTTTTTTCAGCGTTTTTAGCTTCCTTGCATTGGGTTAGAACATGTTCTTTTATCTCAGAGAAGTTTCTTATTACCCACCTTCTGAAGTCTGATTCTGTCACTTCATCACACTCATTCTCCATCTAGCCTTGTTCCCTTGCTGGTGAGGAGTTGTGATCCCTTGTAGGAGAGGCATTGTTCTTTTGGGTGTTTTCATCCGTTTGGTGCTAGTTTCTTTTCATCTTTGTCAATTTATCCACCTGTCATCTTTGTAGTTGTTGACTTTCAGATTGGGTCTCTGCATTGACGTCCAGTTTGTTGATTTTCAGTTATTTCTTTTTGTTTCTTAGTTTTCCTTCTAACAGTCCGGCCCCTCTGCTGTAGGACTGCTGAGGTCCACTCCAGGTCCTGCTTGCCTGGAGATCACCTGCAGCGACTGCAGAACAGTAAGGATTGCTGCCAGTTTCTTCTGCTATCTTTGTCTTAGAAGGATACCCACCCAATGTCAATCTGACCTCTCCTTTATGAGTTGACCCTTTGGATATACGGTGGTCAGGGAGCTGCTTGAGGAAACAGTTTATCCCTTATAGGAGCTCAAGTGCTCATCTGTGAACTCTGTTATTCATTCAGAGCTGCTGGGTATGTAATTCTGCTGCAGCAGGATTCATTAACCCTCCCCCCTTTTTTTTCCCCAGGTTCTCTGTCCTGGGGTGTTAGGGCTTTAATTATGAGTTTCTGTTTTGCTGATGCCTTTTTTCAAGGCTGCCCTGCCCAGCGAGGAGGCAGCTCAATCTCTGTCTTCCCGCAGAAGCTTTGCTGAGCTGCTGTGTGCTCCGCCCAGCTCCCATGTGAACTTCCCTGCAGTCCTGTCTGTACGGGAAGAGTTAGAACTGCCTCAGCAATGGTGGCCCACCTCTATAATGGCAGACTCTCTCTGTAATGGCGGGTTGCCTTGGCAATGGCAGGCTGCCTCAGCAGTGGTGGGCTCCCTCAGCAATGGCGGACTACCTCCATAGTGGTGGACTGTCTCAGTAATGGTGACGCCCTCCCCCTGCCCCCCAAAGAGTTGGACCGTCCGGTTTCACCTGTGCTTGCTGTGAAACCTTCAATCCAGAGCATTTCAGATAGCTGTTTTTTTGTGGGGGTGCAACCAGCCGAGCCTGGTCATCTGGCTCCCTGCCTCAAAACCCTTTTTTTTTTTAAGTTGAAGGGTTGACTGTCTCCCAGGTGTTCCAATCGCCTGTTGAAAAGGCGCTGGGATCTGTGTGATTTCCCGTGTGGCAACCTACTGTGCCAGCTGAAACAGCCGCGCAGAGATCTGTGGCGCTTTTTTGCTCTGGAATCTCCTGGCCTGCCTCCCTGTTTCAGTCCCCTATTTTATCAGTTGCATGGGAGCTCCAGTCGCCCAGGAGCTCCAATCACCAGCTAAAACAGCATCTGGACCCGTGTATTTTGTATGGAGAACCGCCGTGCCTGGGCACCGGCTGAAACAGCCACGCTGGCCAAGACAGCCGCACTGGTGAACTGTGAGGCTCTTCTGTCTGGGAATCTGCTGGTCTGCGGGCAATAAAAGTCTATCTGGAAACGCGGGGTCCAGTCATCCTCTGCGGTTTCACTGGGAGCTGCAATCCTGAGCTGCTCCTAATTGGCCATCTTTGGTCCATCTCCCTTACGGATTTTTTGAAGGTTTCTTTTGTGTCTCTATGTCCTTTAGTTCTGCTCTGATCTCAGTTATGTCTTGTCTTCTGCTAGGTTTTTAGTTTTTTTGATCTTGCTCTGCTAGCTCTTTCAATTTTGACGATAGGGTGTCGATTTTAGATCTTTCCTTGCTTCTCAGTCTCAGCACCACACCACACCTACTGTAAAAGTGACCACATAATTGGAAGAAAATCACTCCTCTGAAAATGCAAAAGAACGGAAATCATAACAAACAGTCTCTCAGACCACAGTGCAATCAAGTTAGAACTCAGAATTCAGAAACTAAGTCAGAACCACGTGACTTCATGGAAACTGAAAAACTGGCTCTTGAATGTTGACTGGCCAAGCAATGAAGTGAAGAAGGCAGAAATAAGGATGTTTGTCAAAACCCATGAGAATGAAGGCACAACATACCAGAATCTCTAGGACACATTTAAAGCAGCATCTTTTGATTGTATGCCAGAATATTTGAGATACTAAGAAGAGTATTGAGTTTTTGTTCTGTCAGGCAGTTAATTTACCTGTTCCTTCCCACCCTTGCCTTTACAGTTTATTAGGGTGTGTCCATTGTAGCTTTTACTTTGCAGGTAGCACAGCCCTCCTCCTGAGACAGGGCCTTCTGGGCCATCACCAGAGTGCCCGAGGTGTAGGATGAGGTGTCTTCGTGTTTGCTGGTGGCAGAAACTCCGCTGTCTTCAAGCCCAGTGGAAGCCCCATTGGTTGGTCAGCCCCAGAACCTTGCCTGGCTTCTCTTGAGACTTGCTGATAGCTCTGTCTTCAGCCACAGTCTAAAGGGCAGTTGCTGTCTGCACACTGCCTTGCTCTCTGGTGCCCTGTCCTGCAGATCCTAGCCTCAATAGTCTTGATCTCATATCTCTGTATTCTCATCTCAGGAACTATCTCCCTCACTAGGATACAGTCTAGACAGTGCCCATTGTCCAACACATGAATGCAGTTGCTAGAACGGTTTCTTCAGTTCGAGCATTGACAGTAGGAAGGCTGGTCAGTGGCTCTGCATTCACAAACGATCACCCCCACTATCCCCTGGCCAATGGCTCTGCCCCATGATGAATGACCACCCCCACTGTCCCCTGCTCAGTGCTCTGCCCCATCATGACCACACCCACTCCCCTTTTGAGTGGCTCTGCCTCATCATGACCATTCCCACTGTCCCCTGCTTTGTGCTCTGTCCCATCATGACCACACCCACTCCCCTGTTCAGTGGCTCTGTCCCATCATGACCACTCCCACTGTCCCCTGCTCAGTGGCTCTGCCCCATCATGACCACTCCCACTGTCCCCTGCTCAGTGGCTCTGTCCCATCATGACCACTCCCACTGTCCCGTTCAGTGCTCTTGCCCCATCATGACCACTCCCACTGTCCCCTGCTCAGTGCTCTGCCCCATGGTGAATGACCACCCTCACTGTCCCCTGCTCAGTGCTCTGCCCCATCATGACCACACCCACTGTCCCCTGCTCAGTGGCTCTGCCCCATCATGACCATTCCCACTGTCCCCTGCTTAGTGCTCTGTCCCATAATGACCACACCGACTCCCCTGTTCAGTGGCTCTGCCCCATCATGACCACTCCCACTGTCCCCTGCTCAGTGGCTCTGCCCCATCATGACCACTCCCACTATCCCCTGTTCAGTGGCTCTGTCCCATCATGACTACTCCCACTGTCCCCTGCTCAGTGCTCTGCCCCATCATGACCACTCCTACTGTCCCCTGCTCAGTGCTCTGCCCCATGATGAATGACCACTCCCACTGTCCCCTGCTCAGTGGCTCTGTCCCATCGTGACCACACCCACTCCCGTTCAGTGGCTCTGTCCCATCATGACTACTCCCACTGTCCCCTGCTCAGTGGCTCTGCCCCATCATGGCCACACCCACCGTCCTGTGACATCACAGGTGCTGATAAGGCCGAGTGCAAAGTCGAGTGCTGGAGTGATTCATGTTCCTTCTTTGCTGACTTTTTTTTTTCCTCTTAGAAGGCTTTGAGATGTTCTCTTTATCCTAAATTTAGCAAGTTTCTTTTGTCCCTGTTTCTGCTAGAACTGCTGTGAAATACATGTGGGACTTCCTTGATTGATACTCTTTCTTCATCTTTTGATTCCTGTTTTTGTCTTATTGTTCTTCATTATGGGGACATCTGTCTACTTTATTTCTCGGCTCTTTTATAGAAAAGTGCCCCCTCTGTCCTTCTCTTCATCAAAGCCTGCTTCCCCCATGCCCTGGATCAAGCCCGCTGCCTCTCTGCCCCTCATCGAAGCCCTCTGCCCAACTTCATCAGCCATCTGACTGACAATCACATTTGTGCTGAAATGTTTGATATTTTGGGGATACCACCTCTTCTCTTCCCCTTTAGGCACCTGTTCTGTGTTGACTTCCTCACTTCAGAATTCCTCAGTTACACCCACACTGCCTTTATCTGGCCTTGCTTTAAAAAGCTGTATCCATGTTAATTGCCAAATTTCAGCAGTTTTCTTTTAGTGTTTTCTAAACAGTGTGAGAGGGCAGGGAGGAAGGACATTGCGGCAGTCATTAATGTGGTAAACTCTCTCTGCCATATTATCGTTTACTTACCCAGATTATCCTGAGGATTTTGTCAGTTTCAGAGGTTATGGTTCTTGATGGAATGAACAGATTACCCTTATATTGGAGGATAATAAATTAAAACAGATTGCTCTTATATTGGAGGATAATAAATTAATTGTTGGATAACTAAGGTTGCTCAGTCACCTTGGTTTTGAGAGCTCACATATTTATGGACTCTGAATTGGCCAGCTGGGCAGAGCTGGGTCTGTGACACTGTGAGCCTAGTGCCACATGCTCTCACACATCTACTGACCCAACTGTCTTTCTTAGATGTCGCCAGCACCTGCCCGGCTGTCAAGGAGTGGTTTGTGTACCCTGGGAACCCACTGAGGCACCCGGACCTCGTCAGGCCGCTGCAGATGACCGTTCCAGGTACAGACAGCCTTTCTTTAAATGAACCACAGATCTTTCCATTCTATGATAAAACTCTTAAGAATGAATCAGTTATGGAAAGCATGTTTAACCAGAACTGCACAAATACTAGTTTTCATTTAAACCTTTGGCCCATGATTAACGTATCCATCTAATAAAGTCCTAAAATAACGGAAGGATGACGCTGTGGCAGGTTTACCCTGAACCGTCTGCGGCGGTGCTCTGCCTCTTTCTCCATCCACCCTGCTCCAGGTCCACAGCAGTGGAGAAAGAGAAGAGATGGAGGGTGGCTGTGGTCAGGGCCTATTGCTGCCGCAGCCCCAGTACCTGACATCTAGTCATTGCTTGGTAGATGTCCCTGAAGTTTAACAGGATAGATTCTTGATATTCTGCTTGAATCAACTCTCTTGTTTTCTCCCCACTACTGAAAGTATATTTTGATGAGTTCTGGAACCAGAAAGAGAAGATAAAGGAGGGTTATTTATCTGGAAAAAAATGGTTATATTTTCATGGGTAGTATCTTAAAACTTAATGAGAGATAAGGAAAAACAAAGTCCACCTATAGATTAGCTGAAGTACATGCAAAGAGCAGCCTTTCTTTCTCAGAGTTTGTAGTATCTGAAAAAGGTCAGGAATGTACAACTGTCGGGGTAGGTTTCTACATACAAACGGTTAAGGAAGGGGAGGTGAAGCCTCAGAGTTTATTTTTACTGGCTCATGTCATTGTTTCACAGAACAAATATTTTCCTACTATTTTACTATTCCACTTTTATGTGCATTAAATTCTCTGATGTCACTATTATTTTCCATCACATGAACCTGTAATTTACCAAGTATGGATCTGAGCACTACAAATGGTTTTTAAAAGTTGAGAAAAGCTATTATAGGGAGTGTTTCCCTTTTCTATTAATCAATCATAGACTAAAACCTTAAAAGTACTTAACACAGAAACATAATTAAAATGCATTGACACTTGTTTTTGCAGCAAGGAACATTTTTTAAAGGATAGCCAAAATAATTTTCCCAAAATGTTTTATTACATATGTATTTTCATCTTACAGTATATTCCCAAATATAATATGGAAAATGACTATTCTAGCTCTCTTCATTGTTTGAATTCGAGAATATTTGGCTATTTATTATTGCGTCAAGAGTTAATTTTAAAGGCCACTCTATATAATGTTTTGATAAATTCCAGAAATTGTATAAGTATTAGAGAAACTACTTCTGAGCTTGTGAAAACATTCTCTGTTGCACTCCTGGAGTGGGAAAGGATATATGTAGCACCGTGGACCATATGTAGCACCGTGGGTTCTGCTTCTGGAAGGAGCTCCAGAAGTTTGTGCCCTACACGGAGGGCCAGTCTCAAACACATTCATTTCCACAGCTATTACTCTAGAAATAGGGTATGAAGTTTTATTGAAGATGATTTCAGTGGATGACTCCTTATTTACACTTGTATTAATGATGATAAATTAAAAGACAAGATTTTAAATTTTAAATGCTTTCCAATATCTATGAGGAATATTGCCAAATGATTTTAGATAAAAAGGAAAACAGAGCATCCAATTTCCTGTCACAAGTATTCATGTGAATACAACATACAGTTAAAAACAATGAGATTGGCCGGGCGCGGTGGCTCAAGCCTGTAATCCCAGCACTTTGGGAGGCCGAGGTGGGTGGATCACAAGGTCGAGAGATCGAGACCATCCTGGTCAACATGGTGAAACCCCGTCTCTACTAAAAATACAAAAAGTTAGCTGGGCGTGGTGGTGCATGCCTGTAATCCCAGCTACTCAGGAGGCTGAGGCAGGAGAATTGCCTGAGCCCAGGAGGCGGAGGTTGCGGTGAGCCGAGATCGTGCCATTGCACTCCAGGCTGGGTAACAAGAGCGAAACTCCGTCTCAAAAAAAAAAAAAAAAAAAAAAAAAAAAAAAACAATGAGATCGGCTGGGCATGGTGACTCACACCTGTAATCCCAGCACTTTGGGAGGCTGAGGCAGGTGAGTCACCTGAGGTCAGAAGTTCAAGACCAGCCTGGCCAACATGGTGAAACCATGTCTCTACTAAAAATTCAGAGATTAGCCAGGCATAGTGGCAGGTGCCTATAATCTCAGCTACTTGGGAGGCTGAGGCAGGAGAATTGCTGGAACCCGGGAGGTAGACGTTGGCAATGAGCCAGCATCACACCATTGCATTCCAGCCCAGGCGACAAAGAGAGACTCCTTCTCGCTTTGTGAGGACAAAAAAAAAGTGAGATCCTGCTGATGGGCCCTCCCCTTCCACTTGTCAGGAAAACCTGCAAAAGGTTTTTGTTGCACCATTACAGCTAGTTTTTCCCAAATGACACCGTACCTGATTTTTCTTAGGGTAATCTCATAAGTGCTGCATTTTCAGTGAGTTTTCCAATATAGTGGCCCATGTTCTTTTGTTTTTTAAAGGCTTTTTCCTCTAACAGCACATGTGACTTAATGCTTGCTTTCCTGAATTGTAGAAATAAAAGAAATTACAAGTATTTTTCAACAAAGTGGAAGGCTGAAGGGTGCAGAAAAGAACTATAGAAATTAGGTAAATATTAGGAAGGGGAAATAATTATAATTAACCAGCCAGGGAGCAGAAAAGGAAATCTCACTCTGGGTACTATGTTTGAATGTTTGTCGTCCCCAATGGTCCTGTGTTGAAAACGCAATCATGGATGTGTTGGTATGAAGAGGCAGGGCCTTAGCTGGGGAGAGGTGATTAGACGGAATTCTTGCCTTATCAGAGAGACCCCTTCTCTGTGAAGGTGCCATGTGCCATCTGTGAACCAGGAAGTGGGGCCTCGCCAGAAACCAATCATGCTGGCACCTTGACCTTGGACTTCCCAGCCTCCAGAAATTTTCTACTATTATATCTAATTTATGGTATTTTGCTATAATGTCTTAGATGGACCAAGACACTGGTCTGTTTTATTCAGGGAGCTCATTTACATGCATGTATTTCTATCTGTGGGCCCTATCTTTTTTTCTGAGACAGAGTCGCTCTGTCACCCAGGCTGGAGTACAGTGGCACAATCTCAGCTCACACAATTTCTGCCTCCCGAGTAGCTAGGACTACAGGCACACGCCACCACGCTCAGCTATTTTTTGTATTTTTAGTAGAGACTGGGTTTCACCATGTTGGCCAAGCTGGTCTCAAACTCCTGGACTCAAGTGATCCACCCGCCTCTGCCTCCCAAAGTGCTGGGATTACAGCTGTGAGCCATCCCCCAGTGTATGGGCCCCATCTTTATGTGCATGCATATGGGAGCATGTCTATAGGACATAATATACACTACATTTCATTTCTTTTACAATATATCATGGAAGATGATGTTTCTGATAACATAGTTTAGCTTCCATTTCCCAAACCCACGATTGTAAATGTCCTTGATCTGTGTGCGTGTGTTCACCCTTTTCTAGCGTGTGGCCTCTCTTACTCCTCTTACTCACTTTCCTGACATTGTCCATTCTTTGGGTGGGAGTCTTGGCCCACACCAAAGGCAAGCATTTGAAATTGCCTTTTCAGTCTCCAGAATTGGAGATGTAATTCTTCATTTTCAAAGTGCTGGTGGCTTTTTTTCTCTTTTAAGTGTCGTTTTTTTTGTTTTTGTTTTTTGTTTGTTTGTTTTTTAGTTTTTTTTTTTTTTTTTTTTTTGGAGATAGAGTTTCGCTCTTGTTACCCAGGCTGGAGTGCAATGGCACGATCTCGGCTCACTGCAGCCTCCGCTTCCTGGGTTCAGGCAATTCTCCTGCCTCAGCCTCCTGAGTAGCTGGGATTACAGGCATGCACCACCATGCCCAGCTAATTTTTTGTATTTTTAGTAGAGACGGGGTTTCACCATGTTGACCAGGATGGTCTCGATCTCTTGACCTCGTGATCCACCTGCCTTGGCCTCCCAAAGTGCTGGGATTACAGGCGTAAGCCACTGCGCCCGACCCTTTTTTAGTTATTTTAAGCATATCCTTATTTTAGAAACCTAGGAAAACTAATTTCACAGTGTCTTAAAGGACCTTTTTAAAGTGTTGTTCGTCAATCAGAAAGCTTGGTATTGGCTATATGCATTTGATTTACCTGAATTGCAGAATATCTTAGAAGACTGTTGTACAGAATAAAATGAGGGTAAGTCATATATTTCATGAAAAAAGGATAATGTATTTGCTTTAGTCTGTCATTTGCTATCAAACAATTGTAATGGCTTTCTTGTTTGCCTGCTCTTACTTACATTGTTAAAGGTTTTCTTCTGACCCTTGGTACATACAGATCAGTCAGGAAAGTCTCAACAAGTCTTCGAGGTTTCTGTGAGTGGTAAAGGAAGCTGGTATGTGCATGTGTGTTCATGTGCACTTAAGCTGGTGTGTGGGTGTGCATGTGCCTGTCCTTGGTGAGGTTCTGCCCGTGTGGCTGACAGTGTCTGAAATTGCCCTGACCATCACAGATTAAGATAAATTGGTTAAAATCTCAACAGTGTTTTTTCACCAATTTATAGAAAATAGCGTGAAGCTTTGACAAATGTGTTAGCAAATTCACATTACAGTCACAAGGGTTAAATTTTGCATTTACTACTTTTTGTTTTCTTTTTTTTGTTTTTAGACAGAGTCTTAATTTGTCACCAGGTGCCAGGCTGGAGTGCAGTGGTGCATTCTCAGCTCACTGCAATCTCTGCCTCCTGGGTTCAAGCAGTTCTCCTGCCTCAGCCTCCTAAGTAGCTGGGACTACAGGTGTGCTCCACCACGCCCAGCTAATTTTTGATTTTTGGTTTTTTTTTTTTTGGTAGAGGTGGGGTTTCACCATGTTGGCCAGGATGGTCTGAATCTCTTGACCTTATGATTTGCCCGCCTCGACCTCCCAAAGTGCTGGGATTACAGGCATGAGCCACTGCGCCTGGCCTGCATTTACTACTTTTTATAGCCACTTTCACTGTTGAATGCATTAGATGGGAGTGGTGTAATGATATTTTTGCAGGCATGAAATTAGAAAAC